TATGCCAGCCTGAGTTCTCATTTCCCATGACTATAAACCAACGCAGCTAGCGTGTTCGCCGATGAGGAAGTACCGTTTAATAATAAAATAACCATATGGCGCACCTCCGTGAACACATACTGCTGTTAAGAAGAAAAGGTGCTTTATTCGTCCCACAACGGGGAAATTTCAGTCTGATGCATAGACATACACAAATATACATATACATATTAAGGCAAGCAGCGGGTTAAGTGTTTTGACCAAGGACAAAACGACAGCAGACATCAGTGGGAGTCGGTGGAGAGGGTCTCGTGGTGGGCTCGAGCCCACGACCTTCCAGCCTAAAGGCCAATGCTGAGCTGCATTATTGGAGAAGAACCTTACACAAAAATCCGCCAGCTTAACTCCGTTAGCAATAAAGTTCGCCCGCTACTTCCGCCACTTCCGGCGGGCGCCACCGCAGGCCAGGACTTATGGTCTGAAATTTAGAGGATGTGCGTCCAGTGCGCGCGGAAGCTGCATTCCAGCGTCAGCGTCTGAACAACCCTAACGGAGGGGACTCACACATACACACAAACAAACATGCAAACACAAACACACACACTAACAGATATGTACATAGACCCACACATACACTCACACTAACACACAGACACACACACACCTCATACACACACACCCTCACACAGACACACACACCCTCTCACACTCTTACACCCACACACACACCCCCTCACACAGACACACCCTAACACAGACACACACACCCTCACACAGACACGCAGACACCTCATACACACACACCCTCACACAGACACACACACCCTCTCACACTCATACACCCACACACACACCCCCTCACACAAACACACCCTCTTACACACACACACACACACATACACCCTCTTACACACACACACACACACACATACACCCTCTTACACACACACACACACATACACCCTCTTACACACACACACACACACATACACCCTCTTACACACACACACGCGCACACACACACACACACACACACACACACACACATACACACTCACACACATACGCACACACACACACACACACACACACACACATACACCCTCACACACACACGCACACACACACACACACACACACACACACACACACACCCACAGCCTTGAGCAGAGCAGTGGAGGAATGCTAACGTAAGCTGACCTCAGACGGACACTGACAGCTTCATCCAGACTCCACAGACCGAGGCGGCGCAAGAATCATCAAGTGGCGAGGAGAGAGGCCCGATTAGAGAGATCGAGGAGAGAGGCCCGATTAGAGAGATGGAGGAGAGAGGCCCGATTAGAGAGATCGAGGAGAGAGGCCCGATTAGAGAGATGGAGGAGAGAGGCCCGATTAGAGAGATCGAGGAGAGAGGCCCGATTAGAGAGATCGAGGAGAGAGGCCCGATTAGAGAGATCGAGGAGAGAGGCCCGATTAGAGAGATCGAGGAGAGAGGCCCGATTAGAGAGATCGAGGAGAGAGGCCCGATTAGAGAGATCGAGGAGAGAGGCCCGATTAGAGAGATCGAGGAGAGAGGCCCGATTAGAGAGACCGAGGAGAGAGGCCCGATTAGAGAGACCGAGGAGAGAGGCCCGATTAGAGAGATCGAGGAGAGAGGCCCGATTAGAGAGACCGAGGAGAGAGACCGAGGAGAGCGACCAAGGAGAGAGGGCCGATCAGAGAGATCGAGGAGAGAGGCCCGATTAGAGAGATGGAGGAGAGAGGCCCGATTAGAGAGATTGAGGAGAGAGGCCCGATTAGAGAGATGGAGGAGAGAGGCCCGATTAGAGAGATCGAGGAGAGAGGCCCGATTAGAGAGATCGAGGAGAGAGGCCCGATTAGAGAGATCGAGGAGAGAGGCCCGATTAGAGAGATCGAGGAGAGAGGCCCGATTAGAGAGATCGAGGAGAGAGGTCCGATTAGAGAGATCGAGGAGAGAGGCCCGATTAGAGAGATCGAGGAGAGAGGCCCGATTAGAGAGACCGAGGAGAGAGGCCCGATTAGAGAGATCGAGGAGAGAGGCCCGATTAGAGAGATCGAGGAGAGAGGCCCGATTAGAGAGATCGAGGAGAGAGGCCCGATTAGAGAGATCGAGGAGAGAGGCCCGATTAGAGAGATCGAGGAGAGAGGCCCGATTAGAGAGATCGAGGAGAGAGGCCCGATTAGAGAGACCGAGGAGAGAGACCGAGGAGAGCGACCAAGGAGAGAGGGCCGATCAGAGAGATCGAGGAGAGAGGCCCGATTAGAGAGACAGAGGAGAGAGGCCCGATTAGAGAGATCGAGGAGAGAGGCCCGATTAGAGAGATCGAGGAGAGAGGCCCGATTAGAGAGACCGAGGAGAGAGACCGAGGAGAGCGACCAAGGAGAGAGGGCCGATCAGAGAGATCGAGGAGAGAGGCCCGATTAGAGAGACAGAGGAGAGAGGCCCAGGGGCGACAGTAGCTCAGTTGGTAGAGCATTGGCCTTAAGCCCAGAAGGTCGTGGGTTCAATTCCCACCTCTGCACCTTCTCCACCGACTCCCACTGATGACTGCTGTCGTTGTGTCCTTGGGCAAGACACTTAACCCCACTTTGCCCAAAGCCCCCACTGAAAGATCAAGGCTATGCTCACACTCAGAGAGCAGCCGTCCTCCTGTGGATTCACCACCTGCAGAGGGTCAGTGAGGGGCTGGTGCTATGAGACTTGGGTGGCATCTCTGATTGCCACCCCCCTGACCCAGAAATGGATTAAAGGGTAGAAAATGGATGGATGGATGGATGGATGGATGGAGGAGAGAGGCCCGATTAGAGAGACTGAGGAGAGAGGCCCGATTAGAGAGACTGAGAAGAGAGGCCCGATTAGAGAGACCGAGGAGAGAGGCCCGATTAGAGAGATCGAGGAGAGAGGCCCGATTAGAGAGATCGAGGAGAGAGGCCCGATTAGAGAGACCGAGGAGAGCGACCAAGGAGAGAGGGCCGATCAGAGACCGATCCACCTCCATATTTACTCATACTCACATATTGACTTTTTAAACTGCAGCAAGTCCTAAGTATCTCTGACACTGTTGTTCTTTTGTGTTTTACAATCGATATTTTCCTTTTTTCTATCTGTAAATGTTGCGGCAGTACAGTGTTCATGGTTTTACACTGATCCAGACCAGAGCAGAGACGATGGTCCCAATCAAACAGATCAAGAGGAAATCCACTGGAAGAATGCTAAAAAAAATAAAAATGCTAATAAAGCATTAAGAATTTCACTCTGAACCAGAGCAGGGAAAATGGTCCGAACCAAACAAATAAGTCACAGGGTCTTCTGTCAGTGTGCCCCAGGGCAGCTATGGCTACAGTAGTAGTTAATCACCACTGTGTTTGGAGTTAAAGAGTAATGACATGAGAAGTATCTTTGAGTGTCCAGAAAAGCGCTGTATAATTATTATCAATTACATGTGTAGGTTTTTTCTTCGTTGACATAACTATTGAGTAAAACTATGACTCTCTTTGTAAACAGCCCATTTAATCCACTGGACAGATCTACATTTATTATTCTACGTTCCCCTTCTTAACCCTGGCTCTTACAGAACTTTGCACTAACACATGGGAAGATATGTTGCCAGATGTAGTAAAATTACTCCTTGGGCAGAATGTAAAGATTTATGGTGGAAATATGGCCGGGTGCCAGGTCGGGCTGCTAACATAAGTGAATCATGGTGCACACTTCTCTTCTGCTTTCATCATATCTGATTACATTTCCAAACTGAGGGATGAATAATGGTTATATTATCTCATATTTGTGTCAGGACATTAGATTTGCTGAAGTCAAATTGCTGCACTGTGGTGTGAACCATTTAAATGTTAAAAAAATCCACCAGAAAAACAGCAAATCCTCGAACAAAATCCTTAATGTAGACATAAAAGCCACTGTATTGATTCTCTTTATTCACAAAATTTCAACAAGTCATACACATACTAATTTCTAAGGTTGCCCCTGCCCCTCGTCTCTTGAAGATGTCTGTCTCAGGTCTCTCCAAGATGTCTGCCTCAGGTCTCTCCAAGATGGCTGCCTCAGGTCTCTCCAAGATGTCTAACCTGGTCTCTCCAAGATGTCTGCCTCAGGTCTATCCAAGGTGTCTGCTCATTCAGATCAATGTCCTGTGCTCATTGGTTCATTCTCGCACCATGGACGTCCCAAACATTTGCAGAAGTGATGTGTTCTGGTCAGCCTGGTTCTCCTGGTCTTGTGCAGTGGTTCTACTTCCGCAGGACTACAGTCTCATGTATTGACGAATGAGAGCGTAGATCAGAGCAGAGCTAGAGCGGGACAAGAGCATGCTGGGTTTGTGGATTGAAGTTCATGATGACAAGGGACACGGAAATCCTCCCAGAATCCTCCTCTGTGAGCGCTGTAGTTCCCTGTCACTGAGGTCTGTGGGGAACTACTTCCTGTACTTCCATTCCCCACTGTTGGACTAATAAAGGTATCGTTCAAATCTCCTCACAGCCCATGTGGATTTAAGCAGCAGTGCCGTGGGGGGCCCTTGTCCATGTGGAGACGGGTTCAAGCAGAAATATCACATTCAGATAATTTACAACATCCGTGGATAAAATGTTCTAAAAAAAAAATTAACAAAAAGATCAAACTGGCTTTTTAAATATGATAATTGGACACTTGTGAGTCCAGCTGTCGGGGTACACACACTGCTGCTGCTTCTGCTGCTGCTGCTGAGCTGTGATGGACCGTCTTCCCCGGCACCCCTGCCCTCCATGCCTCATCCCCATCACCTTGGCAGAATAGAGAAATCCAATATGAAACGCTGTCATTATTACAAGGACAGAGCGAGGCGGTGAGAGCCGGAGACAGCGCAGTGGAAGGAGATAAATAGTGCGCAAAGTAAAAAGAGGTGGGAGGATAAGATCTATATTGAGAGTGCGAGTGAGCGAGCGCAGGGGCCAGGCGCGCTTTTCTGAGGCGCTAAACGGAAGATGGGAAAGGAAGACCTCCGCTTTTACACCAGGCTGGTTGCTCGATAGAAAGGCTGCGGGGAATACAAGAGGAAGTGTGAGCAGGGTTCAACGCCCCAGAGACCCAGGGGAGAGAGAGGCTGCAGCTCCAGAGACCCAGGGGAGAGAGAGGCTGCAGCTCCAGGGACCCAGGGGAGAGAGAGGCTGCAGCTCCAGAGACCCAGGGGAGAGAGAGGCTGCAGCTCCAGGGACCCAGGGGAGAGAGAGGCTGCAGCTCCAGAGACCCAGGGGAGAGAGAGGCTGCAGCTCCAGGGACCCAGGGGAGAGAGAGGCTGCAGCTCCAGGGACCCAGGGGAGAGAGAGGCTGCAGCTCCAGGGACCCAGGGGAGAGAGAGGCTGCAGCTCCAGGGACCCAGGGGAGAGAGAGGCTGCAGCTCCAGAGACCCAGGGGAGAGAGAGGCTGCAGCTCCAGAGACCCAGGGGAGAGAGAGGCTGCAGCTCCAGAGACCCAGGGGAGAGAGAGGTTGCAGATCTAGAGACCCAGGGGAGAGAGAGGCTGCAGCTCCAGGGACCCAGGGGAGAGAGAGGCTGCAGCTCCAGGGACCCAGGGGAGAGAGAGGCTGCAGCTCCAGAGACCCAGGGGAGAGAGAGGTTGCAGATCTAGAGACCCAGGGGAAAGACAGGCTGCAGACCCAGGGGAGAGAGAGGCTGCAGCTCCAGAGACCCAGGGGAGAGAGAGGCTGCAGCTCCAGAGACCCAGGGGAGAGAGAGGCTGCAGCTCCAGAGACCCAGGGGAGAGAGAGGCTGCAGCTCCAGAGACCCAGGGGAGAGAGAGGTTGCAGATCTAGAGACCCAGGGGAGAGAGAGGCTGCAGCTCCAGGGACCCAGGGGAGAGAGAGGCTGCAGCTCCAGGGACCCAGGGGAGAGAGAGGCTGCAGCTCCAGAGACCCAGGGGAGAGAGAGGTTGCAGATCTAGAGACCCAGGGGAAAGACAGGCTGCAGACCCAGGGGAGAGAGAGGCTGCAGCTCCAGAGACCCAGGGGAGAGAGAGGCTGCAGCTCCAGAGACCCAGGGGAGAGAGAGGCTGCAGCTCCAGAGACCCAGGGGAGAGAGAGGCTGCAGCTCCAGAGATCCTCACAGGTCTGAGGATCTGTCGGGAATTGTCTGTAGCCTCAGACCTCACTAGTCTGAAGTCTACAGACACCTTATAAAATGCATCATGAAAACATTAGAAGTGGGCCGTGTGTGACATCACCACAGTGTTAGCCATAATGTAGAATAAGCTGATTTGAACATAAACTAGCTGGAGCAAATTTCCTTTTCTGGGCATTCTGCTTCATTGAGCTAGCGGGTTAGCATTGCCCATCTGTCTACAGTCTGTGTGTTTAACAGTGATGTGATGGTGGGTTTTTTTCTGAGTAAAAAAAAAACCCACCAATCTGCCCTGAGCAGCAGCCAGACCAGGCTCCTGCCCTGGCTCCTTCTCCTCCTAATCCTGATCCCTCGTCCTGGACCAGTCCTGTCCTGGGTCCGAAACCGGTCCGGAGCCCAGTCCTTGTCCTGGTCCTTGGGACCGGGACTAGACCAGGACCTGTCCTGGGTCCGAAACCGGTCCGGAGCCCAGTCCTTGTCCTGGTCCTTGGGACCTCGGTCCTGGACCAGTACCTGTCCTGGGTCCGAAACCGGTCCGGAGCCCAGTCCTTGTCTGGTCCTTGGGACCGGGACAAGGACCAGGACCAGGGCCAGTCTCCTGCCCCTGGTCTTGGTCCTTACCTCGGTCCTGGACCAGTCCTGTCCTGGGTCCGAAACCGGTCCGGAGCCCAGTCCAAAACCGATCCTGGTCCTTGGGGAGTATGACTCGCGCACCAGCACCGTCCCACCACCCTACCAACCAACCTCAGTGTTGGGTGAAGATCCACAAAGACATACCCATGTCTTGTTACCACGGCAACACAACACACACACACTACTGTGTGATGTCACTGCGACGGTAATGTCACTGAAGTTTGAAAAACTTTATTTAAACCAAACAAAACAACCCCAGACCAGAACCTTCTAGAATACCATAGAAGGCTGTTGCCTAGCAACCAAACAGGCATCAAATGAATGAATGAAACTCCTCTGTCATTGATTCTTTATTTATATAACCTTATTTTTAAATATATAACGCTCACAGCCACCCTTTTCTTATGATCTAATTACTCAAGATCTATCTTTTTACTCAGAAGTACCACTGCAGGACTTTAGTAACACAGAGTTTTCCACCTGCCCACTTCCGCTCGGCCCTCTGGCACTCTCTCTTCAGTGCTCTGACCGAGTCTGCTTTAGCCCACGCAGCTGTCTCCAAAATGTCAGAGAACAAACAGAGAAAAAAAATTCAAAAAAGCTAAAACAAATATAATAATTATCCCAGAAACGGAACAAATATATAAAGTTTGCAAAGCACTGACGTGAACTCGAACCAAGCCCCGGTGATCCAAGATGGCGCCGTATTCAAATGAATGGCTTGTGCTCAGTAGTTCATGGGACTTCACAAAGACCGGGAGATGAGCAGAACTCGCCTATATTTGGGCATCGTCTGGTCCTCCCAGTACTGCGCAGTGGACGAGCTCCCATGATGCTTTGCGCCAAATACACGTGTGTGGCTCTCATAAACGTGCACAGAGGGGCTCGGCCGCGCTCTGACCAATCAGAGCTGATCAGACCAGTGGCAGAGCGGAGTCAGAGCGGGAAGGAAAAGGACAGAGTTTGTGGCAGTAAAGTGTGGATTTAAAGAAAACTGAAGGATTTAAGAAGAAAAAAAGTTCAGGATGACAAGGGACAATAAAATCCCCACAAAATACAACCTTTATGAAAGCTGTAGGTCAGGCCTGTCGCAGGGGCCTCAGTTGTATGCACAGCTAAACAGAACTGTTTTTAAATTGGTTTTAAACATTGTCAGAGAGGAGGCCTGTCTCACATCTTCAGGAAGACTGTTCCAGATTTTAGCAGCATGAATCTGAAAAGCAGCCTCCCCATGTTTAGTTCTGACTCTGGGCACTAACAGGAGTCCAGTCCCTGTGCTCCTCAGAGTCCGGGCTGGTTCATATGGGACTAACATGTCACTAATATATTTTGGAGCGAGGCCATGGAGAGACTTGTACACAAGCAGAGCTGTTTTAAAGTCTATTCTCTGAGCCACAGGAAGCCAGTGCAGAGACCTGAGGACTGGACTAATGTGGTCGTACTTCCTGGTTCTAGTCGGGACTAATGTGGTCGTACTTCCTGGTTCTTGTCAGGACTAATGTGGTCGTACTTCCTGGTTCTAGTCAGGACTAATATGGTCGTACTTCCGGTTCTAGTCAGGACTAATGTGGTCATACTTCCTGGTTCTAGTCAGGACTCGAGCTGCTGCATTTTGAATGTACTGCAGCTGTTTTACAGCCTGTTTGGACAGACCTGTGAGCAGGCCATTGCAGTAGTCTAACCTACTGGAGACAAATGCATGGATAAGAATCTCCAAGTCTGCTTTAGACACTATGTTTTTGATCCTGGCGATGTTTTTTAGGTGGTAAAAAGCTGCTGATGTTACTGATTTAATGTGGCTATAAAATTTTAAGTCTGAATCCAGTATTACCCCTTGATTTCTGATCTGGTTTGAAGGTTTTAGGGAGAGAGACTGGAGGTGACAGATGACGCTCTCTCTTTGTTTCTGGGGACCAAAGACAATCATTTCAGTTTTGTCTGCGTTTAGGTGAAGGAAGTTGTTTTGCATCCACTCACTGATCTGTTGGATACAGTGAAGGAGTGAGTCCACTGGTACATGTTCTCCTGCAGTCAGTGAGACATAGATCTGAGTGTCGTCTGCATAGTTATGATAGGAAACTTTGTTTCTGCGTATTAACTGACCTAACGGCAGCATGTAGAGATTGAACAGAAGAGGTCCCAGGATCGACCCCTGTGGTACTCAACAGGTCAGGGCCATATGATCTGAGACACAGTTTCCAATCTCCACAAAGTACTTCCTGTCTTCAAGGTAAGACCTAAACCAACTTAGGGCGGTGGCAGCGACGCCAACCCAGTCCTCTAGTCTCTGTAAGAGGATCTCATGGTCGACAGTGTCAAAGGCAGAACTCAGATCTAACAAAATTAAGATTGAGACTTTGCCTGAGTCAGTGTTCAGCCGGATATCGTTTGTTACCTTGACGAGGGCAGTCTCAGTGCTGTGGTGGGGTCTAAAGCCGGACTGAAACATGTCAAATGAGTTGTTGATTATAAGAAATCTATTTAGCTGTAGGTAGACAACTTTTTCAAGGACTTTCCCCATAAATGGCAGATTTGAGATGGGACGATAGTTGTTAAGTACCGTAGCATCCAGACTGCTCTTTTTTAGCAGGGGCCTGATGACTGCAGTTTTCAGGGCCTTTGGGAATATTCCAGAATGAAGGGACATGTTTACTATCTGTGTGAGTGAAGGTAACAGACTGCTCAGAACAGACTTCAGAAATCTAGTGGGTAGTACATCCAGGCTGCATGTGGAGGAGCTCAAACTGGAGATTATCTCTTGGACAGTTTGATCATTTACAGGTGCAAAGTGAGTTAGCTCAAAGAGCCTTTCTGGCTGTTGGATGGTTATCTGTGGATTGGAGACAATGGCGTTTTTGATGCCTTTGAACCTTGTCATTGAAAAAATGTGCAAACTCATTGAAAAAATGTGCAAACACATTGCATTTACGTTTGGAAGTTAGCTCTAGTGGCAGCTGAACATCTGGGTTTGTTAATCTATTAACTGTTGAGAACAGAACACGCAGATTGTTACTGCAGCCTTCAATCATTTCAGAAAAATACTTTTCTCTCGTACTACGTAGCACCCGGTTAAACTCGCACAACTTATCTTTGAAAATCTCGTAATCAACCTGGAGGTTGGACTTGCGCCACTTCCGCTCGGCCCTCTGGTACTCGGTGCCCTGACCGATAAACTCTGGTTCACTGCTAAACTCCGGCAGCTCAGGACCGCAAAGGAGTCTGCTTTCAGGGAGGGGGACCGCAGCGGCTACAAAGCAACTAAATATCAGTTCAGGGACAAACTGAAAGCAGCCAAGTCCCGGCACAGAGAACGACTACAGGAACAGTTGGGTAACAATGATACTGCTTCTGTCTGGAGGGGCCTACGGGAGATCACCAACTACAAGCCCAAAGCCCCCCCCCCTGTGCTGGCGACCACAAGCTAGCTGACAAACTGAACTTTTTTTCAGTCGCTTTGATGCTGCCCCTGACACCTCCCCCACCCCCCACTACTCCAACGACCCATCCATCAGCCCTGCCCCCAGCCTGACAATAGCCTCTAAAAAATATTAAGCAACTCTTCTTGAGGCTGCACCCCCGCAAAGCTCCTGGCCCGGATCACGTGTCTCCGGCCACTCTGAGACACTGCGCCAGTGAACTTACTCCTGTGTTCACTGACATTTTCAACACCTCTCTGCAGTCCTGCCATGTCCCGGCCTGCTTCAAATCCTCCATCATTGTCCCCGTCCCGAAGAAACCCAGGATCACAGGACTCAATGACTACAGACCTGTAGCACTTACGTCTGTCGTCATGAAGTCATTTGAGCGCCTGGTCCTCTCCCATCTCAAGTCCTTCACCTCCCCCCTCCTGGACCCCTTGCAGTTCGCCTACAGAGCCAACAGATCTGTAGACGACGCCATTAACCTGGCCCTCCACCACATCCTACAGCACCTGGACTCCCCGGGGACCTACGCCAGGGTCCTGTTCGTGGACTTCAGCTCTGCCTTCAACACGATCCTGCCATCCCTGCTCCAGGATAAGCTCTCCCAGCTCAACGTGCCCGATTCCACCTGCAGGTGGATCACTGACTTCCTGACGGACAGGAAGCAGCGAGTGCGTCTGGGGAAGAATGTCTCGGACTCTCGGATTATAAATACAGGAGCCCCACAGGGCTGTGTTCTTTCTCCCCTTCTCTTCTCCCTGTACA